CGCACTCGCACTCGCACTCGCACTCGCACTCGCACTCGCACTCGCACCCGCACCCGCACCCGCACCCGCACCCGCACCCGCATCATACTCACTCACACATACACATGCTGCCACAGGGATTCGAACCAAACCTCGCGTTTGAGAAGCAACCGTCTCTCACTGGCCTAATACAGACGTTATTAGGGGAAAATTATTAAAGAAACACGAAGTAATTGTATCTTAAGTTTATTTTTGTAAAAAAATTGGGTACAAAAGTAATTTTTGCAACAATTTCACAATAAATATTTCTAGATATTATTTTGAGTATTAAAAATTGCGTTATCAAGATCATTCCTTTTAAAAACCAATTCACATTACAACCATCAAAACTTATTCTAGATTTTCACAGGCAGTATACGATTATTTAGATTTTTGTCGTTGCTTTGTAGAAAATGGAATCGTAATTCTAGCTAGGCAGGTAAAGTACTTACAAAACATTACTTTAAATTTGTAATACACACCATGTTGATACAAAGAAATAGAATAAGAAAATATTACAAAATAATTATAAGATAATAAAATCACACTTTTTATCAACTGGCCGTAACTAAAATATCATAAATATGGAATAGGTTGGTAGCTATAAATCTAGTGGTAACATTACTTTTTTTTTAATATTTTAATAACGCCGACGTTGGAAGTATTTTGTAAAAGAAACAAAATGATACGGCTCTTCGTTCGTTGTTATTATACATACATAGTTCATATTTTTAGCAATACGTCGTTTTCATTTACAAACTTTCGACATTCATAACATCGGAGTCAATTATAGTCTAAAATACCAAATAAAGACTCTAGAGAGGTCACCCGCCCACTGTACTGCTTGTAAAATACTTGGTTATTCTTGTCTTGTATCCTATTACATGACATATTCGTGTGTTACAGTAATTTTTCAAAAGTTATAAGCACATGTGTGACTAAATATCACATATTTCACGCTCGCGTGACTGAACATATGATTGAATGCTACAGAACGCGTGACCGCTCCCTATGAGCTCAAACTTTATTTATACAATTTATATAATTACATACATATCCACACAACACACGTCACAATAAGTCCTTTAGTCATCTGTCTGGGTCCTAATACTGGTAACCACCACCCTGGGCGGGGGGTACATACGCCTGGCCGGGTCCAGAAGGTCTGCTGGGGCCGGAAGGATATCCACCCGCAGGTTGGTCGGGGTATTTTGCTTCACCTTCGTAGCTCACCTGGGGATGGAGATATATGGATGTTAAAATTATTATTCATAGGTTGGAAAAACCAATAATCAAGTGAAATCAAAACTTTTACATTTCCGAGGTCGGTTTCAAGATTGCATTTGAAGAAGCATTGTAATTTATACCTTATTGCAACCGAAACAGCATAGAATATACATTATAAATTTAATGTCCTTAGCGCATTTACAAATGAAATTTGTCGATACATATATAATACTTAAATAGGAGAGATAAAATTTGACAAATACGCAATTTATTTCGTGCAATGCACGTACAACTTTCATGTGATAAAAGCGTTTTTGAGGTATTATCACATGAGGCCTTATTTGCCAAGGGCATTTGTTATATTGATGCTTTGATAACACAGTATGGCTTCCGTTCTCTTTACTTATCCAATTATAATAATACCACTAGTGTTAATTGTGTTTTATATGTACTAAAATGTAATAAACTAACGCTTGCCCACACTTTTATCTGAGGTTAACCAGCTATGTGGTCGATTGTGTTATGCATTAATCTATTCGCGTTATCCTTCAATATCCCATTGTAGCTTCCGGGACATATAGATGCCGGCAGTTATTCTATAAAGATGAAGCAAAGCGCTCCATGAAAATGGGAATGAATTTAGTGACATAAAGATGGAATGTTTCGGACTTTGATAAAGGATAGAACTGAATGGAAGTTTCTGCGCACACATACCAAAATAAATTCGATAGAAAACTGACATAGTAGGCGGTGAATGCTATTAAAGAGCTTTTATTTCACACGAGAGTGGTTGTCAATTTACTTGAAGTCCAGTCTTCAATTTTGTTCAAGTTTTAGTTGAACAAAATTGAAGACGAATTGTTAGATAAAGATGCCTGGAAAGGCAACATGAATCTAGATTCCACACAATTATGATTCAATGTGTATTCCAAAGCATTTAAGTTTATTTGAAAGAGCCATCTCTAGAGTTTCTTGCTCGTTATTTTCAGGGAGGTCAGCGCTGTGAACGAGCAGTAGCTTAACTGACATTTCCAAGTGTAAAAATTTTACCTATGGAATAAATGATTAATTCATTTGACTTGACTTGACGTCGCCCAAGTCCAAGGATCTAACAAGTATCGGACAGAGATACACTTCATACACGGCTGATCTTGTGCTTGATAAAGATTTAAATTGTGTTCTAGTATGAAGTACCGCCTGGCTCTGAAAATTCTCTTGTTTTTGGGCAGCAGTTTTTGCTAAGCACTCGATGTAGCGACCAAAATTGAGGTTGGATACTAAGTCCAAATGTAACTCAAGGTGGTCAATTTCGGCATGAACATATCTGGGAAAGTCGAAGTGGAAAGCACTCTGTTTTGTTGAAGACACGGCTGTTTATAGAGGCATTAAACCGGACCCTGTTCGCGTCTCTGCAATCAGAAACCGCTTTCAGGCTCAGATACAACCGTGTGACCATGGCCACTATTCCTTGTTCGAAAACTGCAAAAGCGTTACATTTAAATAACAGCAAATAAAACATTACCAAAGCTTTGACTTCTCTCGGTCTGGTTTTTCTTCTTCACCTAAATTTAAGTGTTTCAATAGACGATTAGTTTCTAGATGGATTTTCAACCATAACCCCTGTTTATTTTCGTCGTAATCAAATACAGATCACGTTCATACCTCAGCATTAAATCCGTTCTTCCAATCAGCAGTGTACTTGACAATCTGCGTGCGTCCATCGGGCAGTGCGACTCTGTACTCGCCACGCGTGACGTCACCATCAGAGACTGCGTTATGGCTGTAGTCGTTCCCGTCTTCGTTCACTGAATAAGCAAAGTCGAACGGCATGCCTGGCTCGTGATGGTGATGATCATCATGGTGCTGGAATGAGAAATCACAAGTATTATCACTTGTATCAATAAAAAATCTCTACTTAGACGTATATGGATCAATGTACCCCGTAAGGAAAAGCTTAGTTCCTCCCGTAGGGTTTAGGCCCTTCAAGAGCCGTCGAAAGTTTTGGGTAATTTTTAGAGTTAAATACACGTATCGACTAAATTCTTTTGATTGGAAACTATTTATTTACTTTTCAAATAAAACCATTTTCTCTAAACTACGAACTGTATGTAATCTCTCGGTATCTGTGTTCCTGGAGCTGGTTGGACGTTGGTTACCTATCTCTTCTTTTAATGATAATCATAAAAATATAAGAATCCAAAATCTTCTATGTACCCCGTGTAAATGACATCATGTATTATATAACATTGAATTTCTTTATAAACCGAAATTTCAATTTGTTTTTATGGAAAGCAATATGTTTTACAACCTACATTCGCTTATGAGAGTGAAAATATTTTGTGTAACACTTCTTACTTTAGTCGTAAATTGTTTTTTATATAGTTTTATTGTAGGTTTGTAAAATGGTGCTAAGAATAAATGCTTCTCAAGTTTTTGTCTGTATAATGGTAATAATAACCTCATTTAACTGTTTAGGTATTGACTTAAGAACGTAGTTCTCGTGAACGAATCTATAACAATGTCCTGATATAGAATATAAACTCTCGTGGTTATTCATTCAATGATTATCACCAGTTCCAGGTTCCTTACCACATCATGACAAATATTTATTTTCCCCATATTTTGGAACAATTACGTACTCCATGGTCACAAGTTGTATGGTAAGCGGCAGATAATAGCTTTAAGAACAGTTTCATATCTTCTATGAAGTTTTGATTTGTCTGCCTCCGTGGCCGAACGGTTATCATATCGGACTGCCACGCAGCGGTCCCAGGTTCGATTCCCGGGCCGAGAGAAATATTTGTATGGCCTACATTTATTTATCTCGTGAGTTTGGGTGTAATTTGTGGTTGTCTATGTATGTGTCCATGGCACCTGCGACACAGGGTTTCCTTAGTGCGGGGCTATGTTGAGTGTGTGCGTGTGTTGAGTGAGTGTGTGTGTGTGTGTGTGCGTTACAGATTATAGTGCCTTTTCCTATTCAACCCTTTAATTACACGGGAAGGGCAATATTACCTGTTCAAATAAACTTGGACCTCATTAGTTAGGTCCTAACCCTAGATCAGCTCATGGGCACAGACTTCATCCGGTTCTCCAGTGCTCCAGGGTGTACATGCAGCAACTCCCTACTGTCCAGATGGGTACCAGAGCTATTGGATCGTTCACCCCCCGTTGTGTAAAGCTTTAAGAACAGCCCCATTTCTGTAATAGTTTTGACAATAGTGACCCTCTCTAACTCTCTCCGACTCTTAGGGTATACGAGAAAGGTCCTGTAACATAGGTTATAGGCGTGCGCAGTTTAAAGTCTTCTAAGTTCAGGTTCTGACCCCAGATCAGCCGGTGTACAGGGTTGTCACAGATCGCCGTCACTGACTTCATCCGGTTCTCAAGAGGCTAGTGCCTCGGGTGAGCCGCCCCGCGTGCACGTGTCTACAGTATTCTCCCTATTTTCTAGGTAGGTACCGGAGCTGTAGGCACGTTCGCTTCCTGTTACGCACCTTACAATAAACGGTTGCCATCGCTAAGACGTGGACTCTAAAGTCCACTACCAAATCTCCTCTTTGGTGGCAGAGTTGTTAATGCACGCTCACGTCTCACCAGTTTAAGAGCAGACATGTCTGCCTACTGTCTTTGACGGTCGACGACTCCCCTCACCTTGATATCATTGTCGGAAAAAAGTAACTGACAATGGAAACGCTGCAAGAAATCAAGAGTAACCGTTTCGAAATATCGGGCGAATAAAAAGAAAAGTCATGCTGCGGTAAGAAATCTGTAACTAGAGATAATCAACCAAGGGATATGCTTATAGATAATCCTGCATACATAGGTGTTTGCTTGTGAATTACAGGCACATGGGACTTGTTAGCTACTTATTCAGATTGACGGTTGCAGTGGCAGTGCCGCAAAGATCTTTGCGATTCAAAGCTCGAGTTCACACATCACAGTTAAAATAGCGATTACGTTAATAAAAGACTTGTATTTGACTTGTCGGTTCTTTTCGCACCTAGCTTTAGTAGGAGTACAGCTCCCTGTGAAAGAGTTCTTCCTGGGAGGTACTGCCACTGCCTATTACTGTCGCTAAGCAGTAGGTAATGTGAGCATTATAGTGTTCTGGTTTTGAAGGATAAAGTTGCTGGTGAACTGGTGAAGCTGGTGACTTATTAACTTTATGTTTCAAGGTGACGGGTACAGTGGGCAATATTCTTGCGTTTTAAAGCTTCGAGTGGCTTTTCAACTGTCATGGGTAGGCGTGTCGCTTACCAACAGGTGCATTTGTTCTTCTTGTCATTGGATATCATAAAAAAATAATGCTTGATTTTAGCTAGTATTGTCCATATGCAAAAGTTCACCTGTGAACGACAGAAGAGCCTCTAGAAATGAAGTGGGTGAATCACATAGAGGTCAGTGTCTTTTGAAGTTATTAGTTTTTTGGTATTCATTGCAGCTATTGCAAAACATAAGTTGTAGGTTTATATTGTTAAGTTATTTATGTTTACTAATTAGACTCTCTGCTGTATCTGTTTTTTAGATAAATAGATCAAACGTTTAATTATTTTCTGTTGTATTATAATATTGTACGGCTAAAATTGATTTTCATATTTCAGCTACAATTGTACCAAAACAAAGTGAGTTTGTCTACTAAATAACTAATACAATTTACGAAGGGTCCGAATTTTTAAATGACAAATTATTTTTATTATTTAGAACCACATTGTTTAAATTACTGATTGATTTATTAAATCCATGTGTACACGCCCATGTGATACCATAAAAAAACATGTTACACCTGATTGAGTCTGTTGAAGGGCATGGAGTGGATGTATAATAAAACTAATAAACATAGGTACCTTCAACATGTTTTGTACGCCTAATGTTTGGCCGGACACAGTGGAACTATATTTATTTTCCGTTAACTGATTTTAATAAGTAGTAGAAGAGCTCCTTGTGAAAGAATTCGTCCAGGGAAGTACTGCCACCTTACATATTTCTGCCGCCAAGCAGTAATGTGAGCATTACTGCGTTCCGCTTTTGAAGTGGAAGGGTGCGAAATTCATGTGAAATTACAGGCACATGGGACTTGTCAACTTATGTCTCAGGGTGACGCGCAGTGGCAGTGCCCTCATATCTTTGCGATTTAAAGCTCTGAGTTGCATTGCAACTGTTATGGACAGCCGTGTAGCTTACCATCAGGCGCACGACTTGTTGAGTGAGGGGATCACTTGAAATAATAAAAAAGAAATTAAACTTGGCAAATATGTAGATGTGATTCCACAGATTTTTTAGGTCGGTTATTTTTAAATAAAATATTTAGTTATAATTATTATTATGATTTCCTAGTTTGAGTGTGGTGGCTTCATCTAATTGAGTTCATTCAGCAGCCTATTATTATACATATGTTTCTTTAGCTTAGCATTGTAACGATGTACATTTTTTACTGAATAAATATTATTATGTGCATGTACACTTTCATACATAAAGTGTTTTCACGAATAAATGAATTGTGATTATGACTACAATTTGTTATATATTTTGTATGATATACGAACAAATATACTTTGATAATCTTTCACCTATACGTTTTTGTACAGTAAGACGACGTCCTGACTACAATGATCTTGTGGAACTGAAGAACGTCGATCTGGGTAAATGACTCAATTACTTTTTATTCAAAATTTAATTAATTGTTAAAGCGAAACTGTAAATCGTGACGACCACGTCAGTGGTTCGATTACCGGTAGGACCAGTATGGGAAATTAACTTTTCTAAATTGGCTCTGGTCTAGATGTTCTTAGAGTGAATTCCATTGCTCTGGTACTGATATTACGTGGAATTCTCTAGTTGTAAAACAGATAGATAATAGGTGTGTGGTTGTTTGGAATTTTATTATTATATACAGGGTTGCAAAATACTAGCAACCACTCAGGACTTTTAATAATTTACCAGATGGTCCTTGCTACAAAAATAAAAATAATTAAATAAGAAACGCAGGAGCGCGGGTGGGGGAATGCTCACACGTTTGGATTTACCAAATGCAGACGTAAAAAGAGACAGATAGCATAAAAACTAAAAAGTTTATTTTGGTAACGTGTTAGAACAAAAGTTTTTGTTTATGATGTTAGTAATTAGTCCTGGGAGGTTGTTAGATTTTTATAAAGAACCCTGTATAACGGTGAACATTACAAAGTGACTTTTTAACAGACAGCATAATTTAAAAATAAAATATGTAATATGTAAAATTATTCAAGAATTGTAAAAATTCTCTTTGGTATTGTTGTTTAATAGCATTGACTTACAATTATATGGCCGTCGGGTCCGCGCTAAAAAGTGTCCCAACTTATAGGGCGTTAAAATCGTACACAATATATAAGCGTCATTCACGCTTTAGTGTTCGTTTGTTCGACTGACAGCGAAGCAAGCAAAATTAGACAGTACTGCGATGACATTACAATTTAAATTCAACGTTTTAGCTTTTTCATATTCCTTTACATGTCACTACGTTTAAATAGGTTGACTTGGGACATTTTTTTCGTGGTTTTTGTATTAGACCCGTCGTCCATTTATTTGTAAGTCAATGTTTAATAGCGTTACTCTTTTATTAGTGACAAGGATTATATCGATCACCTGTGAGACAGGCTTTGCCCAGTGCAGGAATCATGGCAAATTCTCTGTACGCGACATACGATACAATTGAGTTGTATTTCCTGGTTCCATGTCATAATTTTAAATGTAATGTACCTCCACAATCTCGTTGTGATTTTTTTTTGTAAATATTACGTTTTTTATATCAAATGGAGTCTAGTCTTATTTGGCATCAACAAAATTTAGGTATGCAAAATATACATAATTTTTTGAAATCTCAGTTTCTCAAAAAAAATACTTTATGAGTTTCAAAATTATATAAATTGATGGTGCGACACACAGACCACATCGTGGTGCGATATGTGTACCTACATGATTACTAAAATATTGTTTTTAAAATTTTCCAGCGTACGGGACAAAATTATCAAGTGAGTACAAAACTATTATAATTGTGTTAGCTAAAAAGTTCGTATGGCAAAAAAAAACAAACAAAAAGAAAGAACCTTTTATTTTTAAAATGTTATATTGTCTATGGTCATTTTGAATGTAATCTGTTAGGGTCACTCAAAGTCTTTTTTCTTGCTCAATCTTCTTAGGGGAATCTTCCTTACGAATGAGCTATAGAGTTTAATTAATATGAACATTTCAAGTGTAATTTGCTGAAATAAAGATTAGTTGACAATGACTCTAGAGAGCATTTTAAGAATATTCCAGATAGTTTTAAGCTTAGAATAATAACGCATAGAATGATAGTTTCATATCAAACGAACTGTCACAAGTGAGGCAAAAATCAAATTCATGTTGGCTAGTTTTACTAGTAGGTTAATTTTCGGTTTTAGTGAATATTTATATAAAAATACAAGTTGAAACGCGTTACTTCCTTGTGGAATGTGATGTTGGTATCTATTTTATGTTTGTCTGACGTATTTTTACACTCATTTACCGCACATTTCGTCATTTTTAGCTAAAAGTCTTGAGCTGTTCGCGGTGCAAGTTGACCTTGAGCACTGAAGGCCCGCCCGCTCGTGTAGGCCCTTTGGGAGCGCTTCAATTTGCCTCATTCAGCGTGTGCGGACTAGGTTTCTATGCGTTATTATTCTAAGGTTTTAAGTTTATAATTCATGAAAAATGCACTGCATTGGTGACAGACAAACGGACATAACTGGTTAATGACTAATACCATCAGTCAGACATGACCAAGGAACCTGGAATGAGCTGGAAATAAAACAAACACAAAGAAAAATTCCTTCGTTACGGCTGGATTCGAACGAGCTCGCTTTTGTCACACCAGAGTGCTATTGCTACCACGACTTAGGTTACTAAGTCGTGGTAGCAATAATAACACAAAATTAGTGAATTAATTAAAAAAATATATCATGTAGTAAAACCATCATGGTATTTATTCAAATAAAATGTTGCATTTTATTTTCATTTCATATATAATATTTTCAATTATTTTCATTATTTAATGAAATAAAATTAAATTAAAATAAAATAATTTTATTTTAAGCATGTTTCATAGAATAACTTTTTTCTGGTATTTTCAGGTCTGGAAGAGCCACAAGCTTTAAAACGTAAGTATAGATAATGTTTGCACCTTGTTTAATGTGAAGAAGTTTTCTTGAGACTGAAATAACTTGTTTGCTTTCTGTGTCTCAGTTACCAAAAGACGTGAATAGTTTCTCTAGCATTTTTAGTTAGATAAAGAATAAAAATAAGCAATGTGCCTGCCACCACCAATTTTAGAGGTCTAAATCTAGAGAGTCTCCTTGTTATGATTACCAGAGCAAAAAAATTACTCCGGGGCGCTACCCAGCACATTCAAACCAGAATCAATGTATAAAAGTTATTTTATAAAATTAGTCCTATTGGAAATCAAACCAGAGTCATCCCACCTAGAGCTCAAATGATATATCTGGACTTCGTTTATGGCACGGACTTCCCCCTTTTTCCATTGATCCCAGTTTTGGGCGTTATCTGGCTAGTTCTTTAAAAAGGAATCCATCTCATCCCGCAATTACAATCGTATGTAGCATACCGCGTCTCTGTTTTTAGTTGTGGGGCTACAATTCGTGGTTATTTTGGTCCACAAATTATATTTGCCATTTCAAACAAACGGGTTCTTTATATTTTTAAATAAAAACATTTCAGTGCGCTGGGTTTAGTTCAATGCAGGAATTCAGTTAAATATGTTTTTGTTAGTAAAAGAGTTATAGTACGTGTCGCCATCGCCACAGGTTTCAAACTGTCGCCTTCCCCAATCTCTAACCACCGCCTTCAGCCGCCGCTCAAGGTTTTTTTGACGCCAATATAAAGTCACAAGAGAACTTCAACATGTATAAAAACTAATGTATTCTATGTGATCAAAATATTTTCGTGATTTGCACAAATTGACATCGGCACGGACACCGTTATTTCAGTTTGTAATTAAGGGCCTTCAAATTAGATGCTTATATAAGCGCTGCAGTAGCGTCCCTGTGGCGCTGCAGTTGCATCAATAAGTTTGTCTTTTTTGAAGATGGAGTAAAATAACGGTTTATTGCGCAATAGTGCTGCCCGCTCGCAAACAGCTAATGATTGCAGTCGCTACCTATTCTATTGACTATCGACTAAAGGTTCGTCATGCTTATGCAATAAATAACTGAACTTGTTTCATTGGAATCATCATCGGTCTATAATTCATCCAACTGCTAGGCACAGGTTCATTTGAATTAGCATTTTTTGTAAATTCATACATACATACGAGTACATAGCATTTCAGAACAATGTCTATTTAAAATAAAAAGAGACATATTTAAAAGGTTGTCATTTTTAATTAATATAGATAATCAAAACCGCCTGTTCTTATTAAAATGAAAATTGATACTAGTAGGCAAACTGTCAAAATAGGAATTAACAAGGCAATAACGCAATTAATAATCATTAGAATGTCGTAACATTCACAATTCAAAATTTTACCTACTCTCACAATCAATCGATATAACTGTCGATAACAACTACATCACTATTTAAAATGTTATGAAAACTAGCAACCCCGCAAATGTCATTTGGTTCTGTCTTCAAAAAGTACAAACTATAAAAATTACTGAAGCGCTAAAAACTGTCACATTCGCTTCTATAAGCCTCTAATTTGAAGACCTAAAAGTAACTATCGAAATGACAGTGTCGTAGGCAATGTAGAAGGCGCACATTATATCTTAAATATTCATACATCAATATTAAATTTATTTTCTAATACATTGATTTACATAAGTATATTGGAAATGAAAGCATGTTCTTGGACCTAAATCGTGAATATTTGTTATTTCAAACAAACCAATGTTTCGAGCCCTTTACAGGTCCCATGGCCGCGGCTGACTGGAATGTGACCTATAAAGGTCCCGAAAAGTGGGTTTTAATAATAAATTTGTACCTATCTATCGTTTCAATTCCAATGTGCAACAATCGTGAAAACCTAAAAACTCGATAATGATTTATATTGTTCTGTTATTGTAGGTAGAGGACTGACTTAGGCTGAAATTTAGAAAAGTTCTTTTAAGTTTCTAGTTTGTCATCCATAGAGTTGGAATATTTTCTTGAAATTTAAATGGGACCAATACGGAGGTAATCGCGTAATAAACACAAAAAATACAGCCGAATAGAGAACCTCCTCCTTTTTTGAAGTCGGTTAACAAAAATGGCGAGGAAAGCGAGTTTTTCGAATATACAAAATAAACTTACCTAAGTTTATGTAAGAAATTAAATCAAACTTTGAGTTTGTGTGACTGTGAACTTAACCCAAAGTTACTTTTGTCATACTTGTTTAGCTAGCCGTTTTTATTTAGTCGTTAAATAAGTTTTTTAGTAGTAGTAAGTCAAGAGTAGTAGTAAAGAATTCGTCCAGCGAATATTGCCACCTTATTTCTGCTAACAAGCAGTCATGTGAGCCTCGTGCTGGTGAAATTACAGGCACACGGGACTTGTCAACTTATGTCTAAGAGTGACGGGAGCAGCGTCAGGTGACAGGATTTGTTCGTCCTGTCACTTGGTGTCATATAAAAATGTCCGGCTTATTTATGAGATTTATCTCAGCCTTAGTTAAGAGACGTGCTGTTAGAGCAATGTACAAACTACAAAGACAATACTGGCGTCACAGTACATTTATGAAAATGCAATTTATGCTAAGAAGAGTACTAATTTTCCCAGAAAAATATTATTAGACATAATATTGAAACGAGGAACTTAAATAAATTGCCAGTTATTGACAATAATCTTCTCAAATTCATTTAGAGAGTCAATACGATTGAATAATTATGCTTCCTGTTTTCAAGTATCATGAAACAAAAGATTATTACACAACTTCTGCACAACAATAACGGAAGCGGTATATTTAGTTTTTTCAGGTTGTTTCCATCTTTGACACTTTGAAATAAATATTGTAATAGATAAATATGAAGTAATAAGGATTTAAAAGAAAGAACAACCCCTAGATTTTCCTAATTCATTATACTATTTAATCAATTTGCCGATGTTCTGTGAAATTTGCTTACGAAAAAAAGACATTTACACAAATTTTAACTAATAATAAGCATTCGATAATTTTTCGTAATAATTCGACTCCAAGCATTTTTATATCTACAACAACAACCACATCAACCCACTGTTGAGCACGGGACTCCTCTCTGGCGAGGGTTTAGGACATAGTACGCCACGCAGAGCTAATGCGTGTTGGGGACTTCCCATGTTTTCCAAGTGTTGTAAACTTTCTTCGACGTGCTGGTTTCATTACGTATTCGAACGCATGTCCTCTGCTTGAGAAGTTTTTATATATTTTTATGAAATTAACACAGTTATGAGCTACTAGTATTAGACATCAAATTTCTTTCTATAGTAACTGAACTATAATTTATGCTGACAGCGCGGTAAAAGCTGCTTGCGCAACTTCCTGACGTTCTCGTTTTTGTTCTAAAGGCGTCATTTAAGTAAAATGATTAGATGTTAAATTACCAAAAATTGTTGCAAATAAGAATGGTGCCAGGTGCTTTAAACGGGAACTGAAAATAATAAACGAATTCCTTGATTAAAACTCCGTTTATTGATTTAGAATTTTCTGTACTCTTTTGGGGGCATCGCATGAAAGAAACAAATGAAACCCATTCTTATTTTCAGCAATTTTTCGGAATCCTGATGATAAAAATACAGGTTAGTGAAAAATAGACTGTATTTTTATGAGAAAATGCTACGAGATTCTCTAATTTGATGAAAAAAGCGCTAGAGAAAGAAGCTTGTCGAAGCGAAGCTTTATAGGTATCTGCTCAAATTGCACAATCTACGAACGTTAGGCGATTAACACACTGCACCGCGCCCCGGGAGACGCGGAATTACGCGCGCGGTAGCGGAGACGCAGATCTGCGTCAACGTGCGGTTGATTTGCCACTCAAAGTACTCGCTTCGTAGTTGATCGCCGTAATGATTGCACATGTACCTGAGATCCTTCTTTGACAAAAATGGTTAATAATACAGACCTCATTCAATACGCTGCAGTTATACTGTCGATTGTTTTTTGTTTACTCAAATAAAAAGACACCGAAGATAACATTCAACTTCATTACAAAGATTTAAGAAAATATGAAGATGAATTTTTCAACTACACACGAATGTCAACTGAATCCTTTGATTGTATGTTAGGGAACATCCGAACGACAATTACTAGAATAGACACAAATTGATTAAAAATCTGCGCGGTAGTGCGGAGCGCAGTGTGCCATACCCTGCGGTTTGCCGCGCCTCTCCGCGCGGGGGCGCGCAGTGTGTTAATCGCCTTAAGGGTGCCCTTAAATTAGACGCTTGTAGATGTCAAAAATGTAAACAAAGAAATGTCATTGTCAAAGCGTGAATGCAGGTGCTAAACCTTCTATTTTTAATGGAATAGGCAAAGGAGGAGGTTCTCATTTTGTACATTTTTTATTATACATTACAAAATATTAACAACAACAAATAATAATTTTAAAAATGCAACGGAGACAAGAAAACATTCGAGTTAACGATGCATGAATGCATGAATGATGAATGATATTTACCCAATTTCAAAGCAGTAGAGCCGATTTTGAAGGGTGCTGGCGACATTACAGGCACATGGGGCTTTTCGACTTATGTCTCAGGGTGACGGTCGCACTGGCAGTGCGCCTTACATCTTTGCGCTTTGAAGCTCTGAGTGGCACTGCGACTTTTATGGACAGGCGTGTCGCTTACCACCGGGCCCATGACCTCACGATAAAATGTTTTTAGTCTATTTATTTATAATAGTATTTTATTATAATTACTGTATTAAATGAAATTGAGTAAATATATATATATTACAAAATGTGAATTGTTCTAAGTTTTATCAGATTACAGCTTGAAAAGAATTCTAAATGTTTATTATTATTTAACTGCCTCCGTGGCCGAACGGTTACTATTCTGGATTGCCACGCAGAGGTTCCGGGTTCGATTCGCGGGCAGGGAGAAATATTTGTATGGCCCACATTTATTTCTCTCGTGAGTTTGGGTGTAATTTGTGGTTGTCTACCTGTGTGTGTGTCCATGACACCCGCGATACAGGGTTTTTTTCTAGTGCAGGGCTATGAGTGTGTCCGTATTGTCGTCAAAAATAGGAAGCTACTATTTAAAATTTAGTTTTTGCTCGTTTATCCCCTTTGTTTACATTTTTGACATCTAATTGTGACTAGTATTGTAATTTTCATACAATATCTATAATATGGTACTTTTGCGGACCATATTAAAGGATACGACATATTTCTCAGATTTTACGGCCAAATGTTATTAAGTGTGGCAAGAAAAAGTAACACTTTATAAAATAATAATTCATGGTACGGACAACGGCACACCAGACTACACATTTTCGTTCGAAAATCGCCTCTATTGCAACGGAACAAGATACGTCAATGTGTAGCTTGATCTGCTGGCGTGTACATACGCAGTTCGATGTCGGTAGTATTTACTTTAAGTGCAAGTTTGGTAGAGAAAAAAACAAGAAGCATTGAAGTTGTTAATGAATTTGAAGATAGCAGGGACAGAAACATGTTTGTGGAAATATTTAAACTTAGACAATCATGATTTTTATAAGTGCGGACAACTAAAGTGATTCTTGGGTAATTTTTAGGTTAGTTTCTCTGATTAATTTCGGTGGAAATTTGTATATTTCAATTTTCTAGAATATATATTACCGAAATTAGGAAGAGAAAAGTAAATTATGCTCCCAAAATTAAAGTGTTTGAGTCTGGTAGCTTTTCGACTTCAAAAAGACATTAAAATATCAAAATATATCTTTATCTTTCACTTGTAACGTAGTAGATAATAGATCTACAACTGTAATATACGTAGTTGTATAACTATATTTATTTGGTTCGGTAAGAAAAGTTCTGTGTATGAATGACATTGCAATATTCAATGAAATTGAATTATTTTAGTATTCTGTGTCTCTCATACAATCTTTGTTTGAATCTGCCTAGTACTACCATAAGTATGTATGTGTTATTCTCAAGGGTTATGACTAAGACCTTTATATACCTTTTATTTGTATGATGAGAAATAAACATTGTAGTGGCCGAACGGTTACCATGCTGGACTGCCACGCAAAGGTACCAGGTTCGATTCCCGGGCCGGGAGAAATATTTGTATGACCTACATTTATTTCTCTCGTGAGTTTGGATGTAATTTGTGGCTGTCTATGTGTGTGTCCATGGCACCGGGACGCAGGTTTTCCTTAGTGCGGGGCTATGTTGAGTGTGTGCGTTATTTATTTATTATAAAACAGGGTCACAGATTATTATCACTTAATACAGGTTTGTTAGCACGATATAAGTTCTTTTTATTTTTCCGATATTTCGGGGCGGTTACACACTCCGTGGTCAAGGGTTGACCGGCCAGGGGCAGATGACTGGATGAATGGCTTTGGTTGATTCCGTAGAACAGGGAAACTGTTGAATCAAGCACATTGGAAAAAATATATAGTAAAGTTTTGGATTTACACTGATTAATATACGGTGGGAAAACATGATTCCTAAATTTTTTCACTATAAATTCTGAAATAAAGCCAGTCCTTGCCGCCCTTATTAGTACAGGAAAAGTTTGAATTCGAGCTAAGGTAGTATAGACTCTTAAGAACATACATTTGTCTAGACAAATGAGAGGCTAGCCCCTTTCGACGTTACCATTGTCTCTCACTTTTTTCCGACAAATCATCACGCACGGTACGGCGAAACTGAAGTAAGTTATTCAAAACAATAAAAATAAAAATGCTTCGACTTTAGTTTCCCGTGTCATCGCGGTTGTCGTCGACAGCGAAAGAGGGTTAGTCTGTTATTCATGCTGTCATCTGCCACTGGCCAGTCAACCCGCGACCAAGGAGCGTGTAACCGTTCAGAAACATCGGGAAAATAAAGAGAACTCATCGTGGTAACAAACCTGTAATTAGTGAATAACCACAAAAGCCTTATAATCTAGAGAATCACAGATATGCAAGAGCTCCTTAAACTTGCTTGAAATATTAGATATTTTATGAACATGTGCTGTGATTTGTGCATGATGTGAGATTAGTTCCAGAAATTCGAAAAGTTATTGACCGGCCGGTGGCCCGCAACTCCGTGCGGAATGGTAAGTGAGGAGCTTGAAATAGGCAATGGCATAGAGATAATAGTGGCAAAACTGAAGTACCTGAAAAGCCAGTAAAAATCTAAAGAACTGTTAAAATAACCAACATCTTATCCAATTATTACTCAGATGACCTTTGTAACTGAAACAGACCGAACGGACAGTGTTTAGTTAGGTTAAAAAATTGTAAAAAGTCTGTTCGAAATTGTTCAGGGTCATAGTGAAACGTAAATCTGCATTACGCTCTTAATTATACAATTAATTGCAACCATAAGGCAAAAATCATAAGATCTAAACAATTACAGTTGATATAAAAGAAGACGACGAGGAGCAAATTGGTAAGACATTTTGACAAACACAATAAATATCACAAAGACAAATTCGAATTTTCTATCGAATAGAATGCATTGAAAAACTGTGATTTAGTATTCTTTACTAATTAAATTATTTATTACTATTCCTAGCGATGCGCGACTTTGAATGTTACTAATACTAATGATTCGAATGGGCAAATCATTCTCCAAGCACAACCAACAGATCATTTGTCACATTTGCGGTATTTACAATGGTAAAATGTTAAGGAAGGCTAGTTGATCACGATATCGTTCTGCTCTATGATATCTATGCATTAGTAATGAATGATCATTCAGATACTTCGAATACAAAAATTTGTGGGTTACTAATTTGTCATTCGAATGACAAGATTAATAATAACTAACGAGTCGAATAACGAAATCATTCGCAATTGCGCATCGCTAACTTTTGCTCCTTGTTTTGTTTATTTATTTGTGATTTTTATTAATATTTTTTTCTGATCAAAACCAATTAGCCATGAATTAGTACTGTTTCAGATTCTGGAGCAAATGAAGAAGCGTCACCAATTCAAGTGGACCGAGATGCACCGAACGCTCCAGCTGACCCTACCAAACCCCGCAAGAGAAAATCTACAAGATGCAGTACGGACAGAAGCATAACTCGTAAGTTATTTAATTTTCCTATATGTAACACTGTCTATTCTATGTGTAATATTGTTTTAAAAAAAGAAGAACTTGTACAACAGCCTAGCTCACTTTTTAATGTGAATTAATTTGCACTTTCTTTTGAACCTCTCATTCTCCGACCAAAACAATTATTGACAAGTAATAAGACGTATGATGCGAATGGTGCTTCATACTTGGTATTGTTTTTTAATTTGGATAACGAGAGTAGACTCCCTTACATTCTTATTGTATAAGTTACTTATAAGTTTATTCTAAAATGATATAACACTAAAAATCAGTTTACCAACCTCTTTCTTTATGGGTCCCTAGGAGACTAAGCATATTTGTATTTATTGGAAAATATAGAGCAGAATTAATAAAAGCCAGACCGAATTTATTATTTTAGTTTAGTGTTAAGCTATGTCTGTAAAACTCCCGTTTATTCACTGACCACGGACCGCCAGGGGTCTGCAAACTTCAGGCTGGGAAACACTGCCAAAAGCAATCAACGATTTTATATTATTATTAGGGGTTAAAGTATGAAATTGCCGTTTTATTGCAATAGGTTCTTTGAATATTCATAGAATCTTCATGGTTTGAGGTTTTCGAATGAAACTTTTTTCAAATGGTTTCTGTGATTTTTTTTTTAATTTGAAACATTTGAATATCGACTTTCAATTGTTTTTGTTATTCAATTTAAACAAGAAAGATGGATACTGCGAAAATTCGAGTGATTTTTGAATACGAGTTCCGACGCGGAACTAACGCGGCAGAAACAGCCCGCAATATCAATGCTGCGTTTGGAGAGGGGTCTACTAATGAACGCACCGTGCGATTTTGGTTTAAACGCTTTCGTGATGGAAATTTCGACTTAAAGAACGAGCCACGAGGAAGACCGCCCACAGAGGTGAATAACGATGAATTAAGAGAGATAGTGGAAGCCGATCCTAGTCAAACTACCCAGGAATTAGCGGCATGGTTTAACGTTACCTTACCCATAATATTGACTCATTTGCGTCAAATCAATAAAATAAAAAAATACGAAAAATGGGTGCCTCATGATTTGACTGATCTGCAGAAAGAACGCGTGTTGAAACTTGTGTTGCCTTGTTGAACCGGTACAGAAATGAAGGAATATTGGATCGAATTGTAACATGTGATGAAAAGTGGATTCTTTATGATAACCGGAAAAGAAAAATGCAATTGCTGACCCCAGGTCAAATGCCACAACAGTGTCCTAAAGCAAAACTTACCAATAAAAAGGTAATGGTAACTGTTTGGTGGTCTCAGCATGGTGTTATTCACTATAGTTTTCTCCGATCTGGTCAAGCAATAACGGCAGATGTCTATTGTGCCGAACTCCGAACCATGTTGACAAAACTAGCAGTAAAACAGCCCCGACTCATGAATCGATCTTCACCATTATTGCTCCACGACAACGCGAGACCTCACACAGCACGAGAAACCATTTTGACCCTTCAGGAACTGCAGTTAGAAACCATTCGTCATCCTCCGTATTCACCAGACCTTGCTCCAACGGGCTACCATTTTTTGCGTGATTTGGACAATTATCTACGTGACAAGAAGTTTTCTTCCCAGGAGGCAGTACAAAATGCTTTCACACAGTTTGTGCAGTCTAGATCGTCGGAGTTCTATCGCAAAGGCATTAATAACCTTCCCATTAGATGGCAGCAATGTATAGATAATAATGGCAACTATTTTGATTAAATAAATTTGTTAAAAATTTAAAAAATAAACAATTTAGATTTTCAGTACAAATCGGCAATTTCATACTTTAACCCCTATTATTTGTAAGTTAAAAATTCTCAATATTTTAAATTGAGGAAAAATAATAATTTAAATATTTTTTTCAGTTGGTCCAGATTTTCAATTGAGTGAGTTGTAATTAAAATTACTTTAATTTCAGAATAAATATTATGTACGTTAGAACCATATTTAAAAATACGTGGCCTAAATAGTTCTTGGATATTTACTAATACAGCGTGTAGTTAAATAATGTTCAAACGAACTTTTTCTAATATGGACATTTTTAATTTTTAGGCAGCAGCGGTACGTATTTTTGATTGTTATGACGATTTTGGAATTGTTACAGTTTATTTAATTGTAACTTCTAATATTAATTACTTAATACTGGAAATTGAATTATTTTAGCCGAAAACAACGATGAAGGAAATGGAGAAGACGACGAAGGTAAGTCAAATTAATGAGTAATGTGGGTCAAGCATGTTTGTACAAAATTACAACAGAACTAATATATAGCAGCAATTTTTTATTCTAATGGTAAGTTTAGTGCCTACTAAGGGACAATGTTAATAATGCGAGCTCGAAAATCGAAAACATTGTAAACCGGGCATGGTCGATTCTCGTATGATCTGTGCCATCTGACCAGACTTCGAAGCTTAGCCACATCTTCAGATCGTCAATCCCAGAAAGTCTAAAAACAAAGGAAATACAACCAGTGAATTCTACCAGTTATGTCCTACAGAGCCGAGAAGTGGACATTAACAACGAGCTATACTTGAGGTTTCTCTGATGGATCCAAATGAAATCATGAGATAAGCCAGAGAACTAAAGTGACCTAAAGCTCGTACACGTCGGCTGGAAGGCTGATGTCCGATTGAGCAGACTTGTTCTAGAGTGACGACATGGAAAGTGTATTATACCGACGACCTGAGAACGGTGGCCGGCAGCGGTTAGATGCGGGTGTCACAGGACCGGGAGAATTGGCGTGCTCAAAGGGAGGCTTATGTCCAGCAATGAAGGCGTTTAAGCTCACGTTTGGAGCTCGGGAGTTTGGTTTTATAATACCAAGCGACAGCACGAACAAGTCGCGCGAGTAGTGGCAAGCGACACACCTGTCCGTAACAATTGCAGTCCAATTCAGAGCAATTATAAAGATCAGAGGGGTATTGCCACTACATCCGCCACCCTGATACATAAGTTGGCAAATCCCATCTATAATTTCATCAGCACCCTTACCCTTCATAACCGGAACGCAGTTACGCTCACAATACTGCTTGGGTGCTGTAATAGATAAGTTGGTACTTTCCAGGACGAACTCATTCACAAGGAGCTCTAGTAATTAAGAACAAGGTTTAATTTTGTATTTGTTTCTTTTTATTTACAGTCAAAAAAGGAATAACAAAACTTTACTATGGCCCTCCAATGGCAAAGACCCCCGATCATTACATAGACGATGCATAATCGAGGTCAACTTATACTGTTACTGTGTAAATATGTTGTAATTAATTTGTATACTTTGGCGTATATTTCTCTTTGTTAATTTTTACATGAAATAAAGACTTTGTTGTGAATTTGTGTATCTCACTCGTCAGTGTCCTTACAAGAGAAGGGCTGTTAGCCACTGATTACTTAATAGTTACTACGAACTTACTACATCACTCCATACAAAATCGAAAAAACCTACGCTATTACAGCCTAATAAATTTGACTAATGACACCAGGTGCACACTACGAGGGAAATGAAACCTAAGCACGCACTCAAATAGGTGAAAATAATGTTGCCCGCTGTATGCAGTCGTGCGGAGCCGAATGCTCATAAATGAATGACTTGGATGAACGCTTGCGCCGACGTCGGTGCACTCAGCGGTACTTGAGCGAGTGACGGAATCTACATAGCTATGTTCACATATGTAGAATTACAATGTCAACACTAAGCTACTCCGACTTTTTGAGCTTTACTCCGACGTAATACATGTTTAAGCTTTTTTCTTGATGAGACGGTGTTTGGTATTTTCTTTGCAACCAGGCTTATATTCAGTTTTGTGCAGTAAAAAAGTTGTTCGCCTGTATTTTTTTTTGGTAGTGGGTGGGTCCAAAGTACAAGTCTATAAGGAATAGGAAGGACTTATACTTACATCGTGGTGAGAGGTGTGTTGGTGAGAACCGCTGGAGGGAGTAAAAGGAGCAGTGGAAGGGCCCTGCTGCTGGAAAATTTTGATCACAGTTTTGTTTAAAGACTAATAAGGTAATTACGAAGCGCCAGTCAATAGAAAATTAAGTTTGAGTCTTTGAGCGTTGGACCATTGGTTGTTGCTGATGCAGGTTCTTACATATCAGCAGATGCTGATTTTTGGCCTTAACATCAGCGAATGCTGATGCGGCCGCCGATTTTATGTAACACAAAAAACGCGAGAAATGTCGTTTACTTTGTGCAGTCAAGTCTGTGTTTCACCTAAGGTGCGACATGTACATGGAATCAGATCAACTTGAATATCAGGTTCAACGAGTATATATAGTTCTAAATTTTCATAACTTTTTAAGCAAGTGGCGCTTCATCTTTATTGTACTAGACAGATATAATCGGGTTCCTGACAAAGGACTAAGGAGAAAGGAGGTAATACTTACGTTATAGGAGGGACGGTATGCAGGGCCGGTTTGTTGGGGAACAAAAGGGCGCTGAGGCTGAAAATTGCGAGTGTTAAATGTTATGTTAAATACGTGTTTATTTCTGGAATAAGTTACAATAATGTTTATGGAAAAACTGGAGATTGAAGTGTAGTGAATGTTGTCATTAGGGACGACTTTCCCTTATATTATAATTATTACAAAATAACGGGTTAAGAAATGAGTATATCAGGGGAAGTTCGAAAGTGGTGCCAATGAGGAAAAGATTAAGAGTAAATAATTTAGCGCGGTATGGACATGTCATGCGGAGGGAAGAATGTCATGTGGTGAAAAGAGTGTTAGGTATGAATGTGAAGGGACATATGCGAAAAGGAAGGCCAAAGAAAAGATGGATGGATTGTGTAAAAGGTGACATGGATAAGAAAGGTGTGAGTATGGAAATGACAGCTGATAGGGGAGAGTGGATGAAGAATATATATTGTGCCGACCCCACCTAGTGTGGGACAAGGACAGAAAGAAGATGAACGGGTTTTATAAACGTGACAATGACCGGAAAGTTGTATCTCTGCAAGCGGGAATTACTAAGTCAGCACATCTATCGACATGGAAATAGTTTTATGGAAATGTAATAACGACCTTATGGCCTAATGGTTTGCAATTTGGGCGCTGAATGCGCCAGACAATTGGTGGGGATGGCACATACAAAAATAAAAACACGTTGTGCGTTAGGGATGCACGATTTTTTGCTTTGACTCGATTTTTTGGATCGTAATAGATCATATGCCAGTGATTCACGGACCAGATCTATATATCTATATATTAATCTCACAAAATCTCACAAAAAGCGTTTAAAAATTTGTAATAATTAAACACCTTTATTACATGAATTGCCATAATATTTATTTTTGCTTTTCGCTGATACTAGTCCTTTACATCTAACTAAACTTTCCAATAATTATGTCACATAACTTAAAGTCCAAAGCATTTTCCGTTTGTGTACTTGACAAAATCATCAATAAGATGAGACTTTTGTTTCAGTTATAAATACGATCAAGATGTATCTATTCGCCTTAATTTAGAATCGATTTGCTTAAAAATCGCATTGAAATGAATCGATAAAAAAAATCGCTAGTTCGTATTAAATTGAATCGATCTTCAAAAAAATCGTACCGTAATGTGCATCCCTATTGTGTGTTTCGTTTCCAATGGGATTGTCGACACAACTCAACCGCGACTACGTTTTAATAACTGCGGTGACTCTTTATTGTTGTTACCAGCATATTTTTATATTACTAAACATTTATTATCAATACAGCATTTTTATCATTTTTTTAAGGTTTGCTCATGGATAGAGTTATCCAGAAACAGTTTCTTCGTCTTTTTTCTGAGTGTTCGATCTTTGTATTAATAATTATAACAAACTAGTGGAGTAATTTCATAAAAAATAATTGAATATCAATTCAATAAAAATTTAAAAAGTTTCTTCTTAAGTTTTTCTTTTGTTTACTTACTTCTCCTCCTGAGGAAGGTCCGGTGGGTGGAGGAATGTAGGGGGGAGGACGCGTGGGCTGACTCGGTCTGTAGGTCGGACTCGGTTGCTGGAAAAGATTGCATATTGTTGAGATATTCAAAAATATTTACAGATATTACGAAATTTTTGAAATTTAAAAGATATTTTTTTCATATATCTCACTCGATATATGGTGTAGCACATTTGAAATTCCATTACGTCGCCCATGATACTAAACTATTTAAGCCATATGAAATTAGTGAACTAATAAATCAAATGTCCATACAAATTGTTAGATTAGTTCATGATGTTTGCAAGGGAATGAGAAAAAAAACATGAGATGTTTCCTCTAGGAAATGTATTCAGTATCAAAGCCACGCTATGGAATTTTCAAAGCTCTTTTTTATATAATTATACAAGCAGACGACAAGATAAACAAAGATTTGCATAAGTAATTTGTTATTATATTATTTAATTTTTAATTAAATTATTTTATTTGATATGCAATACAAAAAGGAAATGCAAATTATTAATAAGACAAACTTAGAAGTGAAGCTGTGTTTCCGGATCTATATCGCATATTTGCATTAAATAATGTGTAGGTTTATCCATGATGTTCGCAGACTGCAGACTGTTTTATGCCATGTTTGACATCAAAACAAACATATTAAATGTATCTAAATATGCTGACTCAGCTATACATTGAGACATTGTGCTTTTGCCCGTAATGGAACACAACAACAAACGAACCAATACACACATTTGAGCAAAAACGACATTGAAAATAAAATATTGAAACACAACACACTACATTTAAGGCACAAGTTAAAAGTAACCTGCATTCTTGGATTACTCGTAAAGCAGCCATCGTGGACATTTTCGTCTAATTGTTTGCAACGCTTGAGGCACTGTTCCACTAAAGTAGGAGGCAGGTCCACATTTTGGATGATACATTTTTGAAGTAGGAGAGCTTCTTGTGAAAAAGTTCGTCCACGGATATTTCTGCCACCAAGGAGTAATGTGAGTGTTACTGAGTTCAGGGGGCTTACCACAACCTCTTAAAACAATATTACTTTAACCTTATATTGACGTTTCGTACTATGACGCGCTTAAAGGAAGCTTATTATAATGTTAAAAGTATGATGTTTAAATGAAATGAATGAAAGTAATATTGTTCTTATGTCAAATTTAGCAAATTTTTTAGTTAAATAAATATGCGCGATGTTTATTTCGTAAAATTATGCGACCTTAAGCTTTAGTAAGGTTAAAAACTCTACCTAGTTGAGGAGAAGCAATTCATTCTTTTTCTATATTTATTTGTGCATTTCTGTTTTTATTCGTATTTGTTATAATTATTCGTCAGCTGACATGTTTGAGAAACGATTCTAATAATATAGCGACATATATATAGCGACATATATATAGCGACTACAGAATAGATTAGCGACATCGACATAAATATTCTCCTTGCTTACTTGCTCCTTGGGGACACTAACAGTTGACATTAGACTATAATTCCGAATTTACAACGTGACAATCAAGACTCAGCTTGTTTTATTTATTTTTCTTCATGAAATGCGGAAAAATAATTGAAAACAACGTAATTGAAAATAGATATCATTATTCATTGACTTACAAGTAAATGGACGACGGGTCTAATACAAAAACCACGAAAAAAATGTCCCAAGTCAACCTATTTAAACGTAGTGACATGTAAAGGAATATGAAAAAGCTTTTAAATTGTAATGTCATCGCAGTACTGTCTAATTTTGCTTGCTAAAGCGTGAATGACGCTCTGTATACGATTTTAACGCCCTATAAGTTCGGACACTTTTTAGCGCCGACCCGACGTTCATATAATTGTAAGTCAATGTCATTATTACATATTTTTCTTTTTTTGGCAGTTAAAGTTCTCTTAATGTAAACATTATTAAGGGTTTTGACATTATAGGACGATTCAGAAGTTCAAAAGATATTTATATTATATGTGTTATATATATTATTTTTATTACAATAAAAGAGATTTTTGGAATATACGGAGACGTACACACAGGTCAGTTGTTGGCGCTGTCTATATTTCAGTGCAAACGAGATTTGATATTTATAAGTGATGTATCGCTGATGAGTTACCAGGTATGTATTGCCCTTATTTCGTCTCTATTTCTGGTTATATACTCGATGAGTATTATTTGCTTTCATGTGTTAAAAGCGCTATTGACATATGACCGCATGTGGCTTCTTTTACCAAGTTATTCACTCAGGGTATCAAACGTATCAAACAAATTAAACGAGGTCGTCCAATTTGACCACACGTGATTGTTTTTAGCAAACGGTTATTATTTACAAGGTTAATGACATATTGTTATGGCCTCTTGTGTAGGTTTTTATTATAACCGTTAGATTTTACTCAAGATTGGATTCGTAAATAAAATATTATTACTTGTTTCGGACACTGTCTACACATTAATATAGGTCATGGTTAATAATTTAAGTGGTCAAAATGTAGTGCGAATGGATGATGTATTATTTGTGTAACCGATTATCACCAGATATCATGTGAATGACCCCGTTACTGTGGCACTTTAGAAGTCATTTTATACAGGGTTATTTGGAACATCCTGGCGGGACTACATTTACAATTTTTAATAATTTATTAGAGTATACTTTCGTATAAAAATTAAAATATTTAAATAGATCGCTCTAAATGGCGATAACTCCGTGCGGCAACAAAACTATCTTGCACGTTTGAACTTACTGCCAAATTTTAATGCAGATCTAATAAGTGTCAGATAGTACAACAAAAGCTTAAAAGTTAGGTTTTGGTAAATTTATTACGTTTTGCAAAAATTCATGGAACAAAACGATGCCTTGTTTTCTCAAACTCGTATTTCATAAAGAGTGATTATTCAGACAATGACAAAACTTTCTATTTATTTTAAATTTCTAATCAAGGGTGTTAATTTGGATAGATTACTTTAAGAATAGGTAATAGCCAGTGTGTGAATATGAAGGAAATGTGATGCGAAATCAGGCTGCAAAACTTATATATACGATGCAATTTTTGCATTTCAGTTACTTTGTCCTTTAGGATACGAGTTTGAGAAAGTAAGGCAACGAAAACTTGTTGTTTATGATTAGTAATGTAGTCCTGTGAGGTTGTTAGCATTTTACAAGCCACCCTGTATATTTCTAAAACCAATTTTGAATTTCCGAACATGGAACTCAGATAATTGCTGTCGTAAGAAGAAAGGTTTTAATCGACTACAAAAAGAAGCAGGTTTGCAATTCGTCTGTATTTCTTGTGTGTTTTTCGTTCATTAATTATTCAAACCAAGCATCGACATGAGGTAACCATCATATTCACGGCAGACCACCAACTCTGCCCGCTGCCGTACCCAGAATGCAACCGAAGCACAGTGAAATGATTCATTTTTAATTGTATAACTTGGATCAAACTTATTATAGTTTCCATCAAAATTACTTATTGTTTAATTTTGTTTTAAATTTTTCTCGGTCGTCTGAGTGTTTTTTTATGATACCAAATGATGGGACAAACAAGCCGTGCGCATGATGGTAAGCGACACACCTGTCGATAACAGTTGCAGTTGTAGAGTTTTAAATCACAAAGACATGATGGGAAGTGTCTCAGCGCCCGTCACCCTGACACATAAGTTGACAAGTCCCATGTGCCTCTAATGTACTGTTTGGTGGTATAAATGGGTAAAGTGGCAGTACTTCCCTAGGACGAACCCTTTCTCAAGGAGCTCTAATGCTACTAAAAATTTTATTAAAAAAATTATATAATCTCAGTGGAATTACATATAATTACCAAGTTTTATTGAAATCGGTTACCGGAAAGTGTGCAAGCCGGGATTCATCACCTAGTTCGCCACTATACGGGACTTGAAACAGGAGATAATAAAAATCGGTTCTCACTATTGAGAGAGAAAAAACGCCTTGACTTGGAGAATAGCAAAATCAACCATTAAAATAATTGCCCCTTATAATAAAATTTAGGTGCTATTTATAAAAATTAATCTTCATGCGTCAACAGCCACCGTTAGGGTGGATGAATTTCTTCAAAATGAAATGGGACCACCATGGAGGTACCCTCTTGCCAACAAAAAAATAATCATGAAAATCGGTTCACAAATACCGGAGTTATCGCGTAACATACATACAAAAAAAAACAGTCGAATTGAGAACATCCCCTTTTTTGAAGTCGGTTAAAAATAATAAGTTAAGGTCATCTTGGAAGAAGTTTCTACTTAGCAAAAAGGCCGCCTTTTGAAATTTGCTTATTCTGTTATACGTCTGTCGCTATTCTGTGTTGTCATGGACAATTTCATTTATTTAGTTAATGACAAGAAGAATAAGGTTTACTTAAAGTTATCGTAGTTTTGTACCTTAGTTCCGGCGTTATTCGTTGGGAAGGGTACAGTAGGTTGGGGGTAGTTGTATCCTTTGCTAGGAGGAAGGTACTCGTTAGCTGCAGTCGCCATGGCAACCATAGATGACGCTATTAGGGAGCATAGCCACATCTGAAAAAGAAAGAGTTTATTAAGCTAGATATTGCATGTTACTCATTTTGGCTTGGTCATTGATAATAAGTTTAATAATGCGACATTTCATTTTTAATTTATTTCATTGAATTTAATATTTTATCCAATTTTTTCTATTAATATAAAATACGGCGACAATATAAATAGAAATAAAAAGATAAATATATATATACAAACAATATTCAATGCTATCTTGTTAGCGACGCGAGTAAAGATTTATTTTGAAATTTAGTTAAGTTAACTTAAGTAGTTTTGTAAGTTTAAATTCTATAATATGTGCAATTATCTTTTGTTTTACTAAAGCTAAAACACACGTTCTATGGAAATCTGAAACAACAACGGTACCACAAACACCTAGACCCGAAACAATATAACTGCTTCCGTAGCCGAACGGTTACCATGCTGGACCGCCATACAGAGGTCCCGGGTTCGATTCCCGGGCCGGGAGAAATATTTATAAAGCCTAGATTTATTTCTCTCGTGAGTTTGGGTGTAATTTGTGGTTGTTTATTTGTGTGTCCATGGCACTCGCGATACAGCGTTTCCCTAGTGCGGGACTATGAGTGTGTACGCGTAATATAGAAAGTATTGATCCGGCCGAGGATCAAACCCGGAACGTGGCGATACCGTGAAAATCGGCGTGCAAGCCACTTGACAAAACAATATGAAGTTTACCTATTAGAGCATCGAAATTAACCCTGACGGCAGAATTTTGGACACAAAAACCAATTTGAGAAAGCTTGTTTCCTTATTTGTTACCAGTTAATGATTGGAATTCAAAAAATCTCAAGCAAAACATATTAGCGGTGTAACCAGTGGAAATGAAAAGACTAGAATTTTGAAACAAACGTAAAATTCCATAGGGGCAGCGTGCGGCTGACGCTATGTTGATCATGTCACTGACGTGACGAGGCCGTTAGCGCCCCACAAACCCCGCCGATCCCTCGGACATCCTAATGCTCCCTAGCTGCTTTTTTGAAAGGGTCTGTTTTTTATTTTTGGGATCGGGTCAACGTGTGTGATGTTGTCTAATATTTATGTAGTCTTATATTTATATTGCAAGTTGTATTCATACCATATAATAAAAGCACATGTACACTACGCTACAATACGTTGAGAGATAAGTTTGAAGAGATTAACATTTTGACATTAACGTCATATAACAAGATTCCGATTGATATTCAAAATTTGTCATTTACGAGGTTTGAAACTATAGTGAAACAAAAACTTTATACCAAAGGTTATTTACAACTTCAGCGTTGTTGGATGACAAAAATCCGTGGTAGTGACCCTTTTCAGGTATTCTCGATCTATGTTTGAATTATATAGGTATAGATATAGACATAGGCTTAGAATAATAACGCATAGAAACCTAGTCCGCACACGCTAAGTGAGGCAAATTGAAGCGCGCCAAAAGGGCGGGCGGTCAGTGCTCAAGGTCAACTTGCACCGCGAATCAAGAATTTTAGCTAAAAATGACGAAATGTGCGGTAAATGAGTGTAAAAATACGTCAGACAAACATAAAATAGATACTAACATCACATTCCACAAGGAAGTAACGCGTTTCAACTTGTATTTTTATATAAATATTCACTAAAACCGAAAATTAACCTACTACTAAAACTAGCCTACATGAATTTGATTTTTGCCTCACTTGTGACAGTTCGTTTGATATGAAACTATCATTCTATGCGTTATTATTCTAAGGACATAGGTATATTTACAAAGAGCATCCCCTAGAGTTTCTTGCACATTCTTCACAGGGGAATCTGCCGTACGAATAAGCAATAGAGTTTATTCAGTATGACGATTTCAAGTGTAGTTTGCTTACCTATGAACTAAACATTATTTGACTTTAACTTTGAAAAGAGCTTTCATTACCATGAAAATCATAAGAATGACACGAATTAATGAAATATATTAGGTATCCGAGAAATTTTGTTATCGAGTAATTTCTTTCTTAGAATCTTTGAATCTCTCTCCTGAAACATAGTCATTGTTGATAAATTGCAAGAATTAAATAATAAAAAAACCTTGGTATGAATAAGCACTGGGCGTTTACAAACCGCAGTTTAGTGTTAATAGTGTGAAATTATTCTTTTGTGTGTTTATGTGACAAATTTTAAACCGCGGCATGCGAGTGCTAGCAAAATGAATAGTTTGCATACAATGCACTTTATAAGAACGTATGTACTGACTGGCTGACAACTTTACCCGAGTAGAGTGTCCTAATACCCGATTACAACAAAAACAGGGAGGATATTGCGTTTAGTTTGACTGTATATTCAGTTGTTCACCCGTACATGTCTATCTTTTTATTTTGCTGATAACACTGAAGCGAATTTTTTTCGAGAACGATGTTTAGTAATGGCTTCTTATCGTGTCATATCTCTCTTGATTAACTTCCGTAAGTTATATTTAATAACGTCACTTAGATATACGATCTGACTTAAGTTTCAAAAGGTCAATCTATTTTATTCTCATAATACACAGGTAAGGTACAATAAAAGCTTAAATACAAGAAAGTAAAACTAGGACCCAGTTTTATTCATATAATTTAATTTATATGAATAAAATTGGGTCCCCGTGGCAAGGTGCCCAAGGTGCTGGCGGCGTTCCCTCTTTGTATGGTTATGCTACTGCGTTCGGCAAGGTATAGCTGCCGGACCTTGGGTTTCCCGGACAGTCTATTATTTTTTTGGATTAAATTTTGTCCAATGAAGAGCACCGAAACCCCTGGGGCCAAGGGTTTCGACTCCAAAGGCTGTAAACAGGTAGTCGGAGCCGAGATCCTGGTAGTTGGGCAAGTGTGTCGGCGCACGTGGCGTCCAAACCAGTGCCCAGCCCATACTCAGTGCCCATTTCAAAAGCGGATATTCTCACCAAGCGTTGTACGTTTATCCTTTTTATTAACCGCTGACGGAAAGAGAGGGGAGTTATAAGTTTTAAGCGTATGTTTGTACGGCAGGAACGGTAGGAATATAATTTAAGTGATTTTGATTCTTATTAATATACATTTTAAGGAATATTTTGCTTTAGTCTGTCGTTTTTGAAGTCGAAGTAAAATAACATTTTTGTAGAGTTGCCAGTTTTAATAAAATTTTAAATAGTCATGTAGTTGTTGTCGACAGTTTTGTCGATAGATTGTGAAAGAAGATAAAATTTTGCCAAAATGACTAAATTGTGAATGTTACGATGTTCTAATGATTATTAGTTACGTTATTGCATTCTTTATTCTTATTTTGACAGTTGGCCTACTAGTATCGAAATGAATTTTTATTCACAGGTACATATTTTAACAAGAACTTTAAAATTATGTCTCCTCTTACTTAATACTTCTAAGTGCAGTGTATGTATGTATGGAGTTACAAAAATTGACAATTCAAATGAACCTGTACCCTTGGACGATTAATGGACCGATGATGATGTAAATGTAACAAGTTCGGTTACTCATTGTGTGACCAATATTTTGTCGATAGTCGATAGAATATTTATCGAGTGCAATCACTAGCTGCTTGCAAACGAGCAACACTTTTGTCCAATTAACTGTCATTTTACTCCAGTCGTATTTATCCAAAATAAATATTTGAAATTAAACTTTTATAACAGAAATATAGTATAGATTTCTGTTGCCAACCGTACCGAGTGCAGTCAGAATGAATGCATTACGCCACTCGATAGAACAATGCATCGCTCGATAGTGCAAGGCCACTGCTGGGACGGGCGGGGAGTGGGACGCTTCAATGTCGTCCTAATTCAAATCAAATTTGTCCTAATTTGAAGTCAAATGTATTTTTGCACAAAAACTAAATACGCCCCGCACTAGGGAAACTTTGTATCGCGTACATAGACAACCACAAATTACACCCTACCTTACCTGTTTCTGCCGCCAAGCAGTAATGTAAGAATTACTGAGTTCTGGTTTAGAAGGGTAAGGGTACTGGTGAAATTACAGGCACATTGGATTTGTCAACTTATGTCTCAGGGTGATGGGCGCAGTGGCAGTGCCCATAAGATTTTTGTGATTTAAAATTCTAAGTGGCACTGCAACTGTTATGGATGGGCGTGTCGCTTACCACCAGGGGCACGAAATAAATAAACATCCAGGAATCGAACCCGGGATCTCTGCGAGGCAGTCGAGCACTTTTTTTATTTTACAGCTTTAAATCTCAAAGATTTTAGAGTCATTGACACTGCAGCCTGAGACATAAGTTGACAAGTTCCATATGCCTGTAATTACACTAGCATCTTTACACTTCCAAACCGGAACGCAGTAATTTCACATTACTGCTTGGCGGCAGAAATAGGTAAGGTGGCAGTAATTCCCTGGACGAACTCTTTCACAAGGAGCTCTACTGTTAATAAAATGCATGGTAACAATTCGGCTATGAAAGCTGTTAATTACACTGTAGGTACGTAACACGTTCATTATAATAACATTTACATTGCTTGGTTAGGATTTATGTGCTTTAAATCTATAGTGCAGTGAAAACTTTGTACGAAAAGGTTATTTTACACAGCTTCTGCGTACTTGGTGGATTTTTATCAATGGAAGTGACCCCTTCAGCTGTTTCAGATTGTTTCTATGATATTTGAAAATGATAAATGTGAACAAATGTCGGTTCACATTGCTGTTTAGACATTCCATCCTCTAAGCTGCTTAGTAAAAGCCGTTTGTTGTCATGTCAAATTACACTTGAAATTGTCACTTTGATTAAACTCTTCTACTCATTTGTAAGGCAGATTCCGCTAAGAAGACTCTAGGGGTTGCTCTTTGTAATTAAAAATTTAAAATTATTTCAAATATGAATCAAGACAACATGCAGTAAAAAATAATTCATATAATCACATTGCCCTCTTTTAGGCTTCCTTATAGTATGTTAAAATATTTGTCTTTGTTCAATTGAAAACTCCTATTACATAAATAAACAATCGCCTTCCGAGTTCCAAGCTGAATTACAACATACAAATTTGACGA